TCCCTGCTGTCAACAGAAGAATGAATCCATCAGGTTACAAGTGACAAGAATGTGATTGGTTGATAGGAGGCGTATAACGAGCTGGGACCACGCATTTGCTCTAGTGCCCACCGTGCAGAGATGCTAAAGTAAGCTGGAGCGAGATGCTTGCACCACTCTCAACTGATTTCTCCTGGTTTTGGAAGACGTTGGAATTAATCGGGTACATCGAGTCTGGTCCCAACGGCTTCTATTGATCTGTTGCACAGTGATCTTTAAAATTATGTTAAGCATCCATACGTTGGAGAACCCATCGGATTCCCTGTATTTTAAAAGGAGGACTGCTCAACGGGTTAGTAACGATTGACTTGTTTTGAATCTGGAATCTCTCTCTCTCAATCATCTCGTATCCATGCTCCTGTAGAGTTCAGTCATTTTCTTACATTCTCTCATGCGAAAAAAACGGACTCATTAATCGGCACGAGGATATCCGAATGTTTTTGTTTTCTTTTTTCTAAAGCAGAATGAAATCGGAAATGATCAGGTGAAAAACCCAGCGAAGGATATCCCAGATCAAATGAACCCTTTGTTCCCGCTAACCTCACCCGCCTCTTTCATACGACTCTGGATTCACGGATGGCTTCGTTGGAATCGATCACTTCGCCTCTGTCATGGTGGGGGTTATGCTTTTGATGCGGCCTACTATCGTGACTTGCTGAGCATAGACTCGCGACCGGTGGATAGTGCGAAGGTTTCGCCGTTTTTACGGCCGACCACCAGTGCTACTCCATACTCAGGCTGGCTTTCCGACGAATCAATTTTGTTTGCGGAATCCCAGCCGACTGATGAAATGACAACCCCGGGTTGTCTCGCTTATTGGAGCAAAAATGCGTTCATATCGGAACTGCTCAAGCTAGTCCTGACGTGGGAAAATTCACCTGAATTTTGTGGTTCGTAGCGTGATCGCAGCTGGGATGTGTAAAAAAAAAGTATACACACATACATACGTGCACTTACCGTAGCATTGTGGCGATAATGATCTGCACTTTTTCTTTTAATTTTGTTTTCCTTTTTGTTTTGTCTTCTAGCTTTCATTTGATCTGATCATTTTGGTATGCAAATCACTTCCACGTCGTCGTCAATCGTGACTGTGGCCTTAACCACTCGCATCACCGCTCTAGGTGCCTGTGACAAATAATCTCAGCATCCCGTGCTATTTGTGATTCCTGTCCCTTACAGTGATGCTATTTTCTTTTCCCAATCGGTCACCACACGCCTATGGTGATTGTTTGCTTTCCACTCCTCATTTTGTATTGGTCGGCTTTGGGTCTGAAAGGACGTTCCAACTTTTCTATCCTGTCATTGAGCACCGCCTTGTCGACCCCTGACTAGAATTCATTCCTGCTTTTCCTCCCTTCATCTCCTCCGTTCTCGCTTTTTCTCTCACCGAGTGGCACTACCGAACTCATTACGGTTATTACCTCTATTATACTATTGCTCGTTTTATATATTTGATGGAACAGATTATTAGCTGTCACTTACCGTTGTTTTTTATCCCATTTTTGTCAAACAACAAACATTTCCAGTGTTAGTCGGTCTAAACCCATCTGTTACTTCTTAGTGACCTTTTCCAGACCAGCTGTGCGAAGGAATCGGCATGAAGTGTGTATTCTGCAATGAACGACTTAGATTTGATCTAAAATAGGCAATATCTGGAGAAGTATGTACTACGAGTACCACGTCTGATTTGGCTAACTGTCGTTTCACTCGGACTGTATTGCACATCTTTGGTCTCCTTCGTTTGTTTTATTCTCGCCTGTTCACTTCAGTTTTTACAACCATTGACCATGCACTTTGGTTCGGTGGTTTTCCTTGCCCATGTAGATTAAGGGGTCGAAAGAAGATTGGAAACAGGGGGTCACACCCCATTGAACCTATCTGAGAGTTACCGAGGTCTGGAAACATCCAGGTGACGGTTATTGTTCCTCGAAAACAGCTAATTCTAAATGGGGTGGACGAGATCTACTGCCTGGTTCAACAGTCAAAGGAAATCCGTTCAACTTACCGGGCTACATTTATCCCTAACTTGCCTCCGTTTCTACTGAATAACGAATGAGCACCTTGGGAGCTCCCTGCAAATATGCACAAATACACTACCAACATGCAGTCCTAATTTATTTTTTCGGAGGCTAGAGTATTATAGGAAAAATTTGGGTAAAGCATGGAACGTCTCTGAACCTAATTTCCCTGAAAATTTGTGATCTTCGTGAACCCGGACTTCGCATGTTGCGCACAAGCCCTGGGCCGCAAGGCATCATCGTTTAGAATACTGGCAATAAAGGACCACGGTAAAAAAAGGAGAACCCAGTTCGCGAATATATGGATCAATTAATAACAAGCTTGTTCGCTATTTTGTGTCTTTTGATATCCTTATGGGAATCTTCCATGAAACTATTTATAGAGTTTAGGACGAGTTCTCAGCTTGATGGCGATATTCCTGGCAAGATAAATTATCAAGAAGTTCCTGTACGTACATATACCATCATTCGGTAGTTGAAGCGACTGGATGAATGGGATAGCTAGATCGGTATGAAATAAGAGGATCCTACGGAACAACGCAATTACCAGATCCACCACAAATGTTATTCTGAACAAACAAAAGAACACGACTGATAGGTGTGCAGCCACGCTTCAGCAAACCGGAGAAAATTGTGCTACAGCAGTAAAGTGGTATATAGATAGAACCCATTATTGAACGAGAGTCCTTATCACTGACCATTCAGAACGAACATGGTGCAGCCGACTTATTTGTATGGATAGTCCTTTCAGCTTCAGGGCAATAGCCTGAGTAGGAAAGTAACAACAGATATTGATTGCTAATCACGACGACACTACATCTTGACGTGGTGTGATGGCTTGTGCACCTGTGACCCAACGAGCTACACAGGATGGCTTTTGTCAAGCCAGGAGATTTGAACGAGAACCCTAATTGTTCTCGTGTTTAGTGGCTGGACACCCTAGGAGTACCCGTCCATCAAACTCAAATGCACACAACTTACAAACAATCCCATACTGCATCGGTCGTCGCACAGGATAATCAGGACTGTACTTCCCGTTGCATCGGGCAGAGATATCCCAACCTTTGTTCAATTCTTTGTCTTTAGCACCCAGCCCTCCCCATTCTCCCCTTCATCCAACCTTTAATAGTCCCTCAAGCAACTTGGTCGTCGCTCGCCAAAGGTCGTTGCCAAATAGCACTGTAAGTAATGTATCACGAAGCGCAACATTTGGACGCAAGAGCGCATTCCTTCATCTTGGGGAGAATCACTGATCGTTCTCGTATTCAAGAAAGGATCCCGCAATGACTGCGAAAACCACCGCGGGATCAGTTTGATCCCGACCGTCACCAAAGTACTAGCCTCGGTCATCATCATCATCGTACAGCGAGATACAGTGAACCGAGCTTCACTGATCGCTGCCGAGCTCGCAATGTACACAAATCAAGTGATAAAGCACAAG